GCTAAATGTCTGGGATGCTGACGGGAGGCTGGTGTGTGTTCTAAGGTGAGTTCCGATTTTGCTAAGGTGCACCTGTCGTCCAAGTCCTCATGCCTCGACTGCTTCAGAGTCACTTTAAACATTCCTGGTGACATTCTCCAAGGGAGTTTGGGTGCCAGCCGGGGGCACAGCCTGTAAGCCCTGAGGAAGATGGCAGAGTACAGCATCTTGGGCAAAGGCAAAAAAAGAGATAACTGTCTGGGTGAATCTCCCACTGAAACAGGGGTCCCTGTCCTCCCTTGCCCCTCTGGATTTCGTCACTGCCGCCCTGCTCCTGACCCTGGGCCACTCTCCACTTGCCAGCTTCTCCCCATGCACCCTGATGGGAACTTCTGAGGTGAGGTAGTGAGCTTTGATGCCTGGTGTTACATGGAGCACGTTCGGCCGTGTCCTGGGTCCCAGGGACAGCAGTGACAAAGGCCAGGCAGGGAGGTGGGTAGAAGGAAGTGACAAAGAGGCCTGGGAAGCAACCCGCCCACCTCCCTAGGGCCCCGGGATGCTGTGCCGAGGCACTCCTGGGCCCGGGAGCCAGGCACCCTGTCCCTGTGGCAGAGACGTGGGAGGGGGCTGCAGGGAGGCGTTGCTGGGGGCCCTGCTCAGGCCCTAGCCAGGGTGACACCATGCTGGACAGAGGTACTGAAGTAGGGTCAGACCTCAAGACCCGGGGGTGGAGTGCTGGAGTGGAGGTGACAAGGAGGGGTCCCAGGCCACAGGTGCTGTCAAATTGGGATGCTCCTCTGTTTGCCACCGTCCTCCTCAGTGGGTGCTGGTCTGGGCACAAGAGGTGAGGGGTGGGAGGAGGCTTAGGGCTCAGCATGCCCTAGCCAGCTGTGTCCACGTGGGCTGGTGGGCTCCTGTGAGAGACAGCCCTGGGGAGGGTGGCAGTTTGCTGGCCAGGGCTGGAGGAGAGCTCTCTGGCCGTGCTAAAAATATCGGGTGTGAATACAACAGGTGCTGGTCTGGGGCTTCTCCTGTCACAGGTTGGAATGCCCTGGTGACCCTACCCTGCTACCCATGTGGAGCTGTCACTGGCTGAGTCCTGGTCCTGGTTTCCCACAGACTCTGCTGGGCACCCCCACCCCGCTCTCTCCAATCTCTGCCCATTCCCCTGAGGGCCGGGCTGGGCACAGGCCATGCTGTGCTCCTGCTGGGGTGCCCCCCTCGTGTCTAGTTGGAGACGGTCCCGCAGCATGTGGCCAGTGGAGCCATAGGCCAGCAGGCTGGCAGGTGTGGCGGCTGGCCAGGCAGGCTGAGAGGCTAGGCTAACGGACAGAGGGCCTGCCATCCTGGCCATAGAACAAGCACACCCCTGACTTTTGGGGCTCAGGCCCTTTCCTGCCTTGAGGCCGTTCTCCTGGTTTGGGGCTGGGTTCTGGGCTCTGCAGATGTGTGCTTTTGGCTGCAGGGACCTCTCGTTGGGCCTGTCTGCCCACACTTGTCTGGGTCTGTGGTTGCTTGGAATGAGGCCTGCTCTAGCTAACTGTAGCTCAACAGGAGCATCTGGGAGGAGTGAGGGGTGGCTCAGCACGACCCCCCTGCTGCAGCCAGTTCTGGTGAGCTCCCGGCAGGAAGGCAGGCTGCGTGGACCTGGTGAGGCCGCCTGCTGGGGTGGGGCCTGGGCCTTGAGGCCGCTGACTTGGGCTGTGCTGCTTTGCCTGAGTCTGACACCTGTGGCACCAGGCAGGAGGCTGACACCACAGGTGGGTGGCCTGCCATACCTGACTGCCAGGGTTGCGGCCCACAGCACCCCTCCCCTTGTCTGGGGCTTGCTGGGACCAGAGAGTCACAGGCATTTTGGGATGGCATCCTCAAGTGGTCAGTCTTGATGTGGGCATTCTTGCTGTGCTTGGCTGTGCTTTATAAAGGGACAAAGAAGCCCTTGGTGCTGGAGCCTGCTGTGGCCTCAGGCCTTGGTGCCCCATCTTAGCAGGGTCCAGAAACCAGAGAGGGGAGGGCAGCTGAGAGGGAACAGTAGAGGAGGACAGTGTGGCCCAAGAGGTGAGGCCATCTGGATGAATGAGCAGTGAGGAGTTTCTCTGAGGAAAGGCTCCTAATCAGCCATTGGGTCGGGAGGGTTTATCCTTTCGCCTGTTTCTGTGGCAGCACTGAGGTCCTCGACGGGGAGGAGGGGGCCTGCCCAGGAGGGAGGAAGATTTGCAGAAGGCCAGGCTGGCCTGAGAATCTGAGGGGGTCGTTTGTGTGGACACTTGGGCTGGGCATGGACCAAGAGCCCAGCCCTGAGGGCTGTGCCCTTCCATGCCCACCCTGCCCTGGAGTGGGGCTGGGCAGAGGGTGGACATCAGTAGACCCATGGGGTGGGGCCCCTACTGCTGGCCAGAGTGGGAGTTGGGGGAAAGCCTGCTGCCGCCCCTTCCCTTGGCCCACTTGCGACTTCAGCTGGGGCAAGGCATTTCCTGAGCTGGCCTGGCCTGGGATACTGTGTCGGGCTGGAGGTGGGGCAGGGCCAAGGTGGAGCATGACATGCGGTTTTCCTTCCTTGTCACTGGTCAAGCCCTGGGCTGGCCTCAGTGTCCTGTAGCTGAAGAGTGCCATGGGACCCTAACTGGAGCTGGCAGCAACCCTTCCTGCCTCAGCTGCTCCCCAGCCAGCCTGAGGGTCTCCCCCAGCCTTCCAGGAGCTCTGGAGCTGGGCTGCCGGGTTCACACTCAGCCCTGCTTCCAGCCTCGCTCTGGGCCAGCTTCTTCCTCAGCCACAGGTTCCAAGCTGTGTGAGATCCTGATCCACCTGCAGGCACAGCTCCCAAAAATGGAGTGGTGATCACTCTCTTACATCCAGGAGTCCCTGAGCCCTCTCCCTCTTCGAGTCCTGCTGACTTTCTCTCTTGTTTTTCAAATCCATTCATGTCGTTAAAATACCTTATTGAAGAACCACATAATCCAGAGAGGCACAGGTCATAAGTGACAGGTTTACAAAGTGAGCACGTATGTAACGGGCACCCAGATTAGGAAACAGCACGTCCCTGGGCCCCAGAGGCCCCCGTGGCCACCTCCACCGCTGTCTCCCTGCCTCCAGCGCCCTGGATTTGCTTATCCTGTCTGTGAACCGCCGATAAATTGAATAAGGTAGCGGGCGTGTGGCTCCTTTGTCCAACATCCGTCCCTGAACTTCACACTCAACCGCTGCCGCCTGCAGTGTGGAGGTTCCTGCTGCCTTGGGCATGAACCACATTTCATGACCCAGTTCACCCTTAAGGACATGGGGGAGGGCGCTGCTGTGAGCACGTGTGCCACTTCCACCTGGTACGTACCTGGAGTGCTGGGCCACAGTTTCCAAAGGAGGCCCCAGCAGTGGGCCCAGAGTGACCTCACAGCACTGTCCACTGAGCTGTGGGGCTGTGAGTGCAGTCACACCCGTGAGCAGCGGCTTGGCGACCAGACCTGGTGTGTGTGTGAGTCGTTGGGGCCCATTCCAGTGTTTCGTCTCTCTTCTGTTGGCTGGCTGCCTCATCAGTGTGGATCTGTAGGCATTTTTACACTCTCACCTTTGCGAGGTGAGTGTATTGGTTCCCTCAGGGGCTGCTGCCTTTGCATCTTGGAGCAGTGTCTTGATGAACAGCACTTTTTTTTGAGGAAGATTAGCCTTGAGCTAACATCTGCTGCCAATCCTCCTCTTTTTGCTGAGGAAGACTAGCCCTGAGCTCACATCCATGCCCATCTTCCTCTACTTTATATGTGGGATGCCTATGGTGTGCCAAGCTGTGCCATGTCCGCACCCAGGATCTGAACCAGCGAACCCTGGGCCGCTGAAGCGGACGTGCGCACTTAACGCTGTGCCACCGGGCCGGCACTTCCTTAGTGTCATTTGGCTTATCAACTGGCTGCACAAAGGCTGTTTCCTTCGGAAAGCTTTATTGTCTTGCCTGCTATATTGACACCTGCAACCCAAATCCATTAGTTTTTAAACAAATATCTATTGGTAGCCCACTGTGCCAACCACCCAGAACCAATCTCCAGCACGGGCAGATCCTCCACGGGCATTTGCTGAGCAAACCCCCTGGCCAGGTCTTGCCCTCTGGTTCCCTGGCAATCCACTGTCCTCTCACCAGGACTGACCCCCGACTTCTGCTCCAGCTCACACCAGGCTAGCATCTCATAGTGGCTGGGGGGGCCTTTCCAAAGAGGGGTCCCACTCTCCCTCCAGGACGGTTCTGCCTCCATCTTCTTGGTGGGTCTCTCCTGCTGCTGGCCAGTGGCCAAGTGGGCCTCATTCCGTCCCTAGGGTGCATGCTCACCAGCTCCTCCTGGCCCCAGGGCATTCGCACTTCTCCTCCCCTCCCTGCGTAGCTCCCCTGGACTTGTTACCATCCCTCTCTCCCTGGCAGCCCTCTTGAATCGCCAAGAGCCTGTGTGGCCTCCTTGACGTGGCCTGAGGGCGCCCTCTGCCCGCAGGTCCTGGAGCTGTCCCGCCCACCATGGAGCCAGACCCCCAGGCGGGCGTGCAGGTGGGCATGCGTGTGGTGCGCGGCATGGACTGGAAGTGGGGCCAGCAGGATGGCGGCGAGGGCGGCGTGGGCACGGTGGTGGAGCTCGGCCGCCACGGCAGCCCCTCAACCCCCGACCGCACGGTAGTCGTGCAGTGGGACCATGGCACCCGCACCAACTACCGCGCTGGCTACCAGGGCGCGCATGACCTGCTGCTCTACGACAACGCCCAAATCGGTGCGCGGCCGTCCCGGGGGCGGGGCGGGGGGTACGCCCCACCCTCCCTGACCCTGCCCCACCCCCAGGCGTCCGCCACCCCAACATCATCTGTGACTGCTGCAAGAAGCACGGGCTGCGGGGCATGCGCTGGAAGTGCCGTGTCTGCTTCGATTACGACCTCTGCACGCAGTGCTACATGCACAGCAAGCACGACCTGGCCCATGCCTTCGAGCGCTACGAGACGGCCCACTCGCGACCGTGAGTTCGGCGCCACCCCTGCAGCCCTCTGCTGGCGGCAAGGCGTGGGTGTGGACAGTGGGGCCCTGGCAGCACTGGGTCCTACCTGGTAACATCCAGGGCCTCATGACAAGCACCTCTGACACCCGACCAGGACTTGGCCCCAGAGAACTGGAGCTGCCTCCGGCTAACCACTCCCCAGGGTACAGGTCAAGTCCTTCCCAAGACCAGGGTCATGGTCATTTGAGGGCTCTGGGCATTGACACCAGCCCCTACTCCCAGCAGAAGGCAGTCATGTCCACTGAGCAGGTCTGCAGAGGTTGGTCTCCTCTCTCGGGACCACCCCTAGAGCCAGGTGTGGATCCCCAGTGCAGCCATGGCCTGGTCACTGAGGGTGGCCTGTGTGGCCATGCTTCCAGCATCCCCTGTGGAAGCACCGGGCCTGGCAGTGGGCAGCCCGCGCACGCTGCATGCCATCCCCCAGGCACAGCTGGGGAGGTGCTGTTGGCCTGGCTGAGAGGCTCCTTTGCTGTAGTCAGAGGAGATCAGGAGCCTGCTGGGCTGGGGTGGGCACCCAGAGGACCTCCCCTGTCTCCTGTGCTGTCGCCGATGTCTCCTTGACACTCCCCACATATGTGGAGGGAGGCACATGCTTTACCTCCCAGCTGCCCACTGGCCAGAGTGGTGGGGCGGTCAGCTGTCTGGGCACCTCTGGCCGAGCCTGTTTTCCTTATTCCTCTCTTTCCCACATGCTGAGCCGTCCCCTGGGCCTGGCTGTGCTCCGAGCTCTGGGGACAGCCCTCACAGTGGGCACCTGGCTCACTGGGAGGCAGCAGATGTGGAGTGACCGCACACACAGGCTGTGCTGTGTGGGGGGGGCCCGGGGGACCTGCCCAGCCTGGCATCAGAGAAGGTCCCCTGGAGGGATGCAGTCAGCAGACTCAGGCCCAGAGTGTGGAGGACACTGACCTGCTGGGCCAGCTGTCCCAGGTTGGGAGCTGGGACCCTGTCCGGCAGACCACAGCCAGGTGTGAGTGGGAGCAGGAGTGGGGGAGTGGGGAAAGGGAAGGAGCAAGGCTGGGCAGAGCACAGGGCCTGTGCCATCGCACCACTGTCCCACATGGCGCGAGACCCACTCACTCTTTTGCAGGGTAATGCTGAGTCCCCGCCAGGGCCTCCCAAGGATCCCGTTGAGGGGCATCTTCCAGGGGGCAAAGGTGGTACGGGGCCCCGACTGGGAGTGGGGCTCACAGGACGGTGAGTGGGGGCCCGGCTGGGAAAGTGGAGCTGGCTTCTGCCATGGCGTGGCCTGGTGGCACTGGCTTAGCCTGCCAGGGGGCTGCTGTCTCCCCAGGAGGGGAAGGGAAGCCAGGCCGAGTGGTGGACATCCGTGGCTGGGATGTGGAGACGGGCCGGAGTGTGGCCAGTGTGACGTGGGCCGATGGCACCACCAATGTGTACCGCGTGGGCCACAAGGGCAAAGTGGACCTCAAGTGTGTGGGCGAGGCGGCCGGCGGCTTCTACTACAAGGAGCACCTCCCAAGGCTCGGTATGGACTGGCCCTTGACACCACAGCTGCCCGCCTGCCTTGGCTGAGTCTTGGGCAGCGCTGGGCCTGGGCTGGCCTGTGAAGTCACCGAGGAGGGGAGGGGCGGGGGGAGGAGGGAAGGACCCTGCCTGAGCAGGACCTGCTGCCTACCCCCAGGCAAGCCAGCAGAGCTGCAGCGCAGGGTGAGTGTGGACGGCCAGCCCTTCCAGCACGGGGACAAGGTTAAGTGTCTGCTGGACCCAGACATCCTGAGGGAGATGCAGGAAGGCCACGGCGGGTGGAACCCCAGGATGGCGGAGGTGAGCCGCCCCACCTGCTGAGCCCCCTGTGCCTCCCCTCCCACATCCTCTGGACCCCTAGCCCTCCTGCTCCACCCAGCCACAGCCTCCATGACCTGCCACAGTTTATCGGACAGACGGGCACCGTGCACCGCATCACGGACTGTGGGGACGTGCGTGTCCAGTTCAGCCATGAGACCCGCTGGACCTTCCATCCTGGGGCTCTCACCAAGGTGCATGGGGGGCTGGGCTGAGCCCCGTCTGCTCGCTTCTGCACCCCTGCTGCGTGTACCTCCTCAGCCCCGAGTGTGCCCTCCACCAGCCCTGAAAGAAGAGGGAAGGGCCTGGTGGGGTCCAGAGGGGATTAATTCCACAGAGAGGGGATCCAGGCATGAAGGGACATAGAGGGCGAGGCACCAGGAGCCTAGGAGACTAGGGCATGCAGGCCAGGCCCTAGCATTTATCCTGAGAGCTGAAGGAAGCCCCCGCAGCATTATAGGCAGGAGATGACAGGGTTGGGCTTTCTAAAGTTCTCCCTGTGGGTGTGGTGAGAGGGGGCAGGAAGGCCTGTCAGGATGGGGTGGGCACTTGGCCCAGGGCAGCGAGGACTGAGGGTGGGCACTTGGCCCAGGGCAGTGAGCACGGGGTGGGCGCGCTGAGAGCTGTTTGGGAGGCAGGAATGCTTGGAAGGGGGATGGAGGCGGCGGTGGGCGTGCACAGATGGGGGTAGTGGGGGGGAGGATGTGCCCGTGCTCAGCTCTGGAGCTGGAGTCCAGGACACCTGGGGGCCTTCGAGGAGAGGGCGTGGTGAGTCTCGAGTCAGGTGGTTTGTAGGGTGAGTCTTGTGCAGGTGAGGGCACAGGTGTTGCCTTTCAGAAAGGTTTGGGAGTGGGGAAGGAGCGGCCCCTGATACCTGCTCCCTTTCTGTTCTGGCCCCACCCCCTGGTCCTGGGGTCCCATCCCCTACCGTTCCTGTCTGGCCTTGGCTGTGCTGGCAGCTCCCTGCTCAGTATGCCAGGACAGGCCTGCCTTGGTCTTCACACCACCCCAGAGCTGGCTTTTGTCTGGTCTGGATGCCGCTGCCCGGCTGCCTCTCCAGCTGTCACCTACCTGGCTCTGGGGCTGGGCCACCTGGGGCTGCCCTGGTCACTTGGGCCCTCATACAGGCAGACCCTCTGGTTGTGCTTTCTGGCAGAGGCTGGGGTTGAGTTCAGGCCTGCCTGTGCTGTGGAGCTCGATAGGGGCCCTCCTGCTCCACAACCCTGGGCAGCCACACCTGCCTGGGGGCCCTTCTCACAAGCCGCTCTGTTACTCAGCACAACTCCTTCTGGGTGGGCGATGTGGTGCGGGTCATCGACGACCTTGACACAGTGAAGCGGCTGCAGGCTGGGCACGGGGAGTGGACAGATGACATGGCCCCTGTGAGTCCCCCACCCCTACCTCCATGCCCACTTCCCTCACATCCCTGGGAGACCTGTCTGTGACCCCAGCCTCTCCTCACGCAGGCCCTGGGCCGCGTTGGAAAAGTGGTGAAGGTTTTCGGAGATGGGAACCTGCGTGTGGCAGTCGGTGGTCAGCTGTGGACCTTCAGCCCCTCCTGCCTGCTGGCCTACCGGCCTGAGGAGGATGCCAACCTGGACGTGGCTGAGCGTGCCAGGGAGAACAAAAGTGCGGGCACCCAGCTCAGGCAGCCAGTGGGAGGTGGGCTGCTCCCGACCACCACTTCACCTTACCCCTGCCCCCCAGGCTCCCTGAGTGTTGCACTGGACAAGCTTCGAGCCCAGAAAAGTGACCCAGAGCACCCAGGGAGGCTGGTCGTGGAGGTGGCCCTGGGCAACATGGCCCGGTCTCTGGACCTGCTTCGGAGGCACCCAGAGCAGGCGAGCTCCTGTGACACCATCCCAACTCCCCACGCCTGGCCAGCCCCAGGGAGAGGCCAGAGGGCCGGGGACTGACCTGCTGGTTCTCCTGGCAGGTGGACACCAAGAACCAGGGCAGGACTGCCCTGCTGGTGGCGGCCTACCTAGGTCAGGTGGAACTGCTGCGGCTGCTGCTGAAGGCACGGGCGGATGTGGACCTGCCTGATGACGAGGGCAACACGGCGCTGCACTATGCAGCCCTGGGGTGAGGCCCGGGCAGGGCATGGCGGGAGCTGGGCCTGCAGGTCCAGCCAGTGGGCACAGCACCCCTCCTGCTTCCTCTTCTGTCAGGAACCAGCCTGAGGCTGCCCGGGTGCTCCTGAGCTCAGGGTGCGGGGCCAACGCTCTTAATGGCACCCGGAGTGCAGCACTGCATGTGGCCGTGCAGAGGGGCTTCCTGGAGGTGGTGAGGGTCCTGTGTGAGCACGGCTGTGACGTCAACCTGCCTGTGAGTGCTGGGTCCCCTGGCCCTATCCCTGGGGTCAAGGAGACAGTGGTAGTGACCTTCCCATCAAGTGACCATTGCTCCACCACTGGCAGGATGCCCATGCTGACACGCCCTTGCACTGTGCCATCTCAGTGGGTGCCGGTGCCAGCGGCATTGTGGAGATCCTCACCGAGGTGCCAGCCATCGACGTCACTGCCACCAACAGCCAGGGCTTCACCTTGCTGCACCATGCGTCTCTCAAGGGCCACACGCTGTGAGTTTGGGGTGGGCACGTGGCCAGTGGCCAGGCTCCTGCCACCCTGCTGGGCCACTCCGGGGATGCCCATGACCCCAGGCACATCTCCCTGCCCCAACAGAGCCGTCAGGAGGATTCTGGCACGGGCACGGCAGCTGGTAGATGCCAAAAAGGAGGATGGCTTTACAGCATTGCACCTGGCTGCCCTCAACAACCACCGGGAGGTGGCCCAGATTCTCATCCGAGAGGTGCACATGCAGGGCCCAGGCCAGCCCTGGGATGGGGAGTCAGGGCCCACCAGGCGTCCCTGGGCTGAGCCTGTGCCCACCCCCACTCCCAGGGCCGCTGTGATGTGAATGTTCGAAACCGTAAGCTCCAGTCTGCACTGCACCTGGCCGTGCAGCAGGCCCACGTGGGGCTGGTGCCGCTGCTGGTGGACGCTGGCTGCAGCGTCAATGCCGAGGACGAGGAGGGGGACACAGCCCTGCACGTGGCACTGCAACGTCATCAACTGCTGCCCTTAGCAGCTGATGGGGCCGGGGGGGACCCGGGGCCCTTACAGCTGCTGTCCAGGGTGAGGACGTGTGGCTCTGGGTGCTGGAGAGGTGGGCTGTGGTGTCTAGCTGTCAGCTCAGGGCAGAGCCTGAGCAAACGTCGGCCTCCACCTTTGGTGAGGGCCCAGGGAGCCAGGCCCTCTTGGGGGTGGGGCAGCTTGGGTGACTGTGGTTTGCAGGGGGCATCTTCTGCGATCTCAGTCACCACAGCGTGGCCAGCGTCTCTGTGATTCTGCTCTCCTGATCAGTCTGGGAAATGGGGTGGGGCCCAGTGGGGATGCGACCGGGTCGGGGGTAGTCTGGGAACTCAGCCCCTTCCTGGGAGGCCCCAGGCAGGGGCGCTGTTCCCGCCCACCTCCCGTTCTGGCGGCCTGCGACAGGGAGGGAGTGCCCATGCCTCTGCCGCGGGGCTCAGGCCGGGGCGTTGCCAGCACCCGGCCGCGTGGCCCGCCCTCACCAGCGTCCATCTGCCGCACAGCTACAGGCCTCAGGCCTGCCGGGCAGCGCGGAGCTGACGGTGGGCGCGGCGATGGCCTGCTTCTTGGCGCTGGAGGGCGCCGATGTGAGCTACTCCAACCACCGCGGCCGGAGCCCGCTGGACCTGGCCGTCGAGGGTCGCGTGCTCAAGGCCCTGCAGGGCTGCGCCCAGCGCTGCCGGTGAGCCCCGCGACGGGGGGTCGCGGGGGGCGGGCCCCGGGCCCCGGGCCCTTTCAAGCTTCCGCCTCCGACTTCAGGGAGCGGCAGGCAGGCGGCCCCGGGGGCGCGGCCCCGGGCCCGAGGCTGGCGCTCAGCACGCCCAACACCGTGACGAACCTGCACGTGGCCCCGCCGTCGGGGCCCGAGGCCGCCGAGTGCCTGGTGTGCTCGGAGCTGGCGCTGCTGGTGCTGTTCTCGCCGTGCCAGCACCGCACCGTGTGCGAGGGTGAGTGCGGGGGGCGGCGGGAGGCGTCGGGGTCGCGTCGGCGCGGCGCCGTCCGACCGCGCGCTTCCCCCCCAGAGTGCGCGCGCAGAATGAAGAAGTGCATCAGGTGCCAGGCGGTCATCGGCAAGAAGCTACGCCCAGGTGGGTGGGGCGGGGCGGGGCGGGCCTCGGCGCCGCCCCCGCCCCCGCCCCGCTGCTCACGCCCCACCCGCCGTTCCCCCACGGCCACGGGCCCTTTCGCCGCTCACGCTCCGCCCCCCGCCGTCCGCGCCCGGAGGATCCCCGCCCCTGACCCGGATCGCCCCCCGCAGACGGCACGGAGGTGGCCAGCGCGGCCTCCGCGCCCGGCCCGCCGCGGCAGCTGGTGGAGGAGCTGCAGAGCCGCTATCGGCAAATGGAGGAGCGCATCACCTGCCCCATCTGCATCGACAGCCACATCCGCCTCGTGTTCCAGTGCGGCCACGGCGCGTGCGCGCCCTGCGGCGCCGCGCTCAGCGCCTGCCCCATCTGCCGCCAGCCCATCCGCGACCGCATCCAGATCTTCGTGTAGCCTGGCCGCGCCCCGTCTCGCTCCGGAGCCGCGTCCCGCGTTCTTCTTCGCAAGCTGCTCCCCCCCCCGTGTTTTATAAAAAGATTCTCGGACTTTGCCGCCTGGTGCCTGCCTGGGGCGGGGCCGGGCGGGTCTCTTGTCTCCCGCCGAGGAGGACGGACAGACGAGCCTCGGCGCCGTCCATACCCCGGGTCCCGCCCTCGCCTCGCTACCCCCAGCCCCGGGCTGGCCGGACCGGCCCCTCTTCCAGTACCGGCCCGCTTTGGCCCTATGCCCCGCCCGGCCCCTTCCCGACCCGCGTGTCCAGCCCTTCCCTGGACTCATGGGTCCAGACTCCTGCCCAGACCCCGAGCTCTGAAGCAGAAACATCCTCCAGAAGCACTGGGTGGGCCGGAATCCCAGGGTCACCGCCAGCTGGGGGCCTCCTCGCGAACCCCGCCGCGCCTCCTCCCCTTTTCTTTTCTTCTGGGGCGGGCTGTGGAGACGGGCTGGGACCAGAGCAAGACTCGGTTCTCCCTGGGGTTGTGGGGTCCTGGTTAAGCGGCGAGTGGAGTGAGGCGTCAGTTTCAGGCCAGGGCCCCGGCAGGGTCTCGGGACTGCTGAGTGTGGGGCGGTGCAGGGCACGGGCGGGGACATCGGTTTGTTGGCGCAAATACGTAGCCGAGAAGACGGGGGCGCTGCCCTCGGCCGGGCGCTTTCCAAGAACCACCCGAAATGCTCCCCCGGAGCCTCACGGCTGCCTGCCAGCCACTTGGCGCTGGCCCCGCCGGCCCGGCGCGCTACTGTCACTCAGGCCTGGAGGGGAACGGGGAGGGCCCCGACCCCCGGCCTCGTCTGGCCCAGTGCCTTCCGCCCCGCGGCCCGATCCTCCCTCAGCTCCCTCCCCCGTCTCCCTGTCCCCCAGCCCGCTCCGCCCTCCTGCCCCCGCATCCCCGTCCCCCCGCCCAGAGGCGCGCTCGCCAACATCCCGCCTGGCCCGGCTCCACGCCCAGCACAGCCCGAGGGCCGTCCCGTCGAGCCTTCCGTTCCCCTCCCCCAGCCCGCCCGTTCCAGACCTCGGGCTCCGCTCCCCGCTCCCCACACCCCCGCCCCGCACCTCCTGCGCTTTCCCCACGACCCCCACGGAGCCCCTCGTTGGCCGCGCCCACTCTCGGCGGGACCCCTGCGGGCCCCTTGCGGGCCCCCTCCCTCCTGGCTCCGAAGCCTTGCCCCTCTGGCGCGCCCTCCCCACGCTGCCTACCCCGCCTCTCTCCTCCCTCCCCGCAGCCGGTACTCACTTGCCACGTCCCCTCCCGCCGCGTCCCCTCCCCGCTCGCGGGGACCCTGTCAGGCCAGCGCCGGCGGGGTGACAAGTCCTGAGCCGGCCAGGATGGAGGCTCCACTCCCGGGTCTCCTTCGGTGTCCAGGAGTTTGGGGGGATTCCATGTGGGGAAAGAGCCGCCTGGTCATTCAGCCCACAGCCAGTTTAGGGGCCCCGACTGACCACCCTTGCCTCAGCCTGTCCCTTCCCTGTCCTGTCGGCCGGGCCCTCCTTGCCCCCCCCCCCCCGCCCCAAGTGACCCCGCCCAGCAGGCCCTGCCCAGGCCCCTGCCACCGACCCACAGGCCCTGGGTCCCCTCGGCCAGCTGCGGGCGGCGGGGTGCTCCCACAGCGGGCGGCCAGCTGGTTCCCTTCAGGGGCGGCCGCGCCCCCCAGCCTGCCGGCCCCCCCACGGGGCTGTAACCCGAGACGCCCGGCGCCTCCCCGCCCGGCTCCTCCGCGGCTCCGCCGGTCCCGCGCGCAGCCCCACGCGGCCCGCAGCCCCGACAGCCAGTCCGCAGGCGCCATGGGCCGCGGGGCCTGCGTCCCCTCGGCGGCGTCGGGGGCCCGCGACCAGGCCCGGCGGCTCGGGGCCGTGCTGGGCGCCCTGTGCCTCCTGCCCGCCCTCGTGCTGCTGGCCCGGCTGGGGGCCCCGGCGGCCAGGCCCGCCGCGAGCGCAGCGCAGGTGAGAGCGGCGAGGGGACCGGCCGGCTCTGCGCCCGGCCCGAGGGTCCGCGAGCGCCTGTCCGCCGGCGGGGGGGACGGCGTCTGGCCTCCAGCTCCGCCCCCTCCGACCTGGCCTGCTTTTAGGAGGCGCATTTTTCTTTCTGGCTGTAGAAGTAACGCTCGCTCGCTCGGGGTAGAAAAGCAGAAAACGCTGAAAGACAAAAACAGGGAAAGTCAGCGCTCCCCAGACCTGCGCCCCGCACCCCACTTCCTTCTAGTCACTTTTCCTCGCGTTTCAGACTTGGGGACAGTCCCTGCTGCCTCCCTACGAGGACTTGCTTCCCTCGAAGGGTGATGTCGGCGCGCACCACCCCGCGGGGGTCCTCGCCACCCCGGGCCCCGGCGCGCTGCCCCCCCAGCCGCCCCGCAGACGCCGCTACACTTTGACCCCGGCCAGGCTGCGTTGGGACCACTTCAACCTCACCTACAGGTGCGACCCCGCCCTGGGGGGAGCGCGGTGCAGCCCGGACACCAACCCTGACGTTGACCCCCACCCCAGGATCCTCTCCTTCCCGCGGAACCTGCTGAGCCCCAGCGAGACCCGGCGCGGCCTGGCCGCCGCCTTCCGCATGTGGAGTGACGTGTCCCCCTTCAGCTTCCGAGAAGTGGCCCCCGAGCAGCCGAGTGACCTCCGCATAGGTGGGCGCCCGTCCCACCCCCGCCCCGCCCGACCCCACGGCCCCCTCTCAGCCCTGTGCTCCCCCAGGTTTCTACCCCATCAACCACACCGACTGCCTGGTCTCGGCGATGCACCACTGCTTCGACGGCCCCACGGGCGAGCTGGCCCATGCCTTCTTCCCCCCACACGGCGGCATCCACTTTGACGACAGCGAGTACTGGGTCCTGGGCCCCACACGCTACAGCTGGAAGAAAGGTGACGGCCGGCATGGCCTCCTGTGGGGCCTCCGCGCCACGGTGGGCGCAGCGGGCGGGCTTTGGGGATGGCCGTGGCTGCGATCTGGGGTCAAGCAGGCGGGGAGGGGGAGGCTGTGAGGAGCCCATGGGCCTGGGTGCCAGGGGCCCTGAGGCCCCCCCCACCCCCACACCGCTAGCGCAGAGCCGCAGCCGCATTCCTGGGGGCCGAGCTCACCGCCTCAGCCAGCCTGGAACATTCTTATCTTCCCATGGCCGGGCCGAGGGAGGCTCCGCTGCTGCACGCAGCAGATGTGTGGGCCGCCGGAGCCAGGGCGCAGGGCGGAGGGCGGAGGGCGGAGGGCGGAGGGCGGAGGGCTCGGCCGTATCAGAGGAGCTGACCAGCGGGGCCTGCAGGCGTATGGCTCACGGACCTGGTGCACGTGGCGGCCCACGAGATCGGCCACGCACTGGGCCTGATGCACTCCCAGCACGGCCGTGCGCTCATGCACCTCAATGCCACGCTGCGCGGCTGGAAGGCGCTGTCGCAGGACGAGCTGTGGGGGCTGCACCGGCTCTACGGTGAGTGCCCACAGCGGGCAGGTGGGCGGCGGGCGTGCTGGGCGGGCCTTGAGGCCAGGCTGCCCTCCCGCAGGCTGCTTGGACCGGCTGTTCGTGTGTGCGTCCTGGGCGCGGCGGGGCTTCTGCGACGCCCGCCGGAGGCTCATGAAGAGGCTCTGCCCCAGCAGCTGTGACTTCTGCTACGGTGAGCCTGGGTCCCCGAGTCCTGGCTGGGGTCTGGGGCAGGGCGGGGCACTGACAGGTCCTCCCCTACCCCGGAGCAGAGTTCCCTTTCCCCACGGTGGCCGCCACCGCGCCGCCTCCCAGGACCAAAACGAGGCTGGTGCCTGAGGGCAGGAACGTGACCTTCCGCTGCGGCCAGAAGATCCTCCACAAGAAAGGCAAAGTGTAGTGAGTGACCCTGCCCCGCGACACCCTGAGGGTGGGCAGTGGGTCTTGGGCCCCTGCCCAGCCCTCCTGCCCTCCCCGCAGCTGGTACAAGGACCAGGAGCCCCTGGAGTTCTCCTACCCCGGCTACCTGGCGCTGGGCGAGGCGCACCTGAGCATCATCGCCAACGCCATCAACGAGGGCACGTACACATGTGTGGTGCGCCGGCGGCAGCGTGTGCTCAGCACCTACTCCTGGCGAGTCCGCGTGCGGAGCTGACCGTCTGCCCTGCCCGTGGGCCGAGGACGCTGATAAAGCACTTTCTTCTTCAAGTCTCTGCGCCCTTTCTTGGGAGGGCGGGCGGGAGTCTCTCCAGCCCCAGTGGGGTGAGGCCACCCAGCTGGTGTCCAGCTGGATGTGGGGAGCCTCGGGCCAGGGCACCCCAACTTCCCCACAGAGTCCCTTAGGGGTGAGGATGCAGACAAGAAAGACAGGCCATGAAGGGCTTTTCCAGGTAGTCCTGGAAGAGCAGGGTAAACTGAGGCCCAAGTGCCAGCAGCACCACCCAGGGAAGCAGGCTGAGCTGGGAGAGCCTGAGGTCCCTGGATCCGTCCTGCGTTTGCTCAGGGATGGGGAGGCAGGAAGGGCAGGCGGGGAGGGTGGGGTTGCTGTGCCCTCAAGGCATCCATGATGGCAGCAGGACGGGGTTGGGGCAGGTAAAGGCCGGGGTGAGCACCTTGGCATCAGGTGGATGGGGCTGGTGGTGCCAGAAGGGACTAACTTGGTGGACGTGGAGGCCCTGGACGGTGGCAAGCACCCTTCTGCCTGAGTGACACCTTGTCTGGCTAGACCAGGAGCTGGAAGCCCAGCAAGCCAGGAAGAGCTCAGCCCACGTCAGGTCAGAGGCTGCTCTCCACCCAGTCCTGCTGCCACAGAGCGTGGCGCGAGCTCCCCTCCAGGCAGCACTAGCTCGAGGCCAACTGCTGAAAGGACACACCAGAGCTTTCCTCTGAGAATACTTTACTGCATCTCGAATCATGTAACCACCTTGTGGAAAACCCACTATGGCGAGAGCTCACATACCCAGCTCTGGGGGGCCTGGGGAGCTGGGGGCTGTGGACGCCCCAGGGGAGGGGCAGGAAGGGGCCACGCAGGAGCCTCAAGATTAAAAAGTAGGAAAATCCCGCCATAGCTCCATTTCAAACCTTGGCCAGCATGTGACCGGCACGACCCCCTGTGGTCACCACAGCCAAGTGTGTGTTCAGGGGATGGGCCATTCACCGTGGCCACCTGCAGACACCCACCCTCTCTTTGTGGAGAAAGCCTAATATATCTGAAAAAACACAGCCTTTCGTTCCACAACAAGGAAAATGTTATTTAATTCTACAAATTTACAAGCCAAGATAAAAACAAAACATGGAAACCCAACAGGACCAGCAGTCTAAAACTTGAGGCTGCGACCCATGCAGCCCCAGCTGGCACAGCTGCATCCAGTCAGGGCAGGAACTAGGTCTGGACCAAGACCAGTGTCCTCAGCACCTGCCCCAGTCCCAGTTGAGCCTTATCGGTTGGTGCTCCCAGGGGTTGGTCTGGGGACCACTGTGAACCTCAGAACTTGAGGCTGAAGCCTGGGCCTGCAGCTGAGGCCCCCTGGTTGGTGGTGGTGAGGTGGAAGCCAGTCTCCTTCAAGTCATCATCACCCTGGGAAACAAGTGGCACCGTGGGGCCCCTGCCAGGCCACCCCACCTCGAGGATACCCCTGCTGCCCTTCGCCCACCAGCCCGCCACTCACCAGCTGGCTGTAGCCCAGGCCTCCCTCGGGGGGCCGCGGGCTGGTACCACGCTTCACCCTTTGCTGCTCACTCTTGGCGGGCCACGTAGGGAACATTGAGGGGTCGATGGGGAGCGGGGTCTCACGGAAATACTCATGCTTGAGACCGTCCTCTGCATTGACTCTCCGCCCAGGAAAGTAGGTCAGGAACCTGGGAGAACAAGGGCATGTGGAACCCAGCGCGGTGGGGGAGGGCACGCTTGGGAAGGGAGTGGCCACCCGTCCTCACACGCACTTGTTCATGAGGTCGAAGCCCTGGTCCGAGAGCAGGGCCCCGAAGCGTTTGCGGAGGTTGTTGTATGGGTACTCAGTGAAGGTCATCTTCTTGACCGCAGGGAGGTCATTGTAGCCCGGCCAGATTTTCTCACTGGGGGTCCCCAGGTCCTAAAGGAGAGGGACGTCTCAAGTTGACCCCACCCTGTAGAGAAGGATCCCACCAACCCCCACATCGCTGACCAAGACCCACCTTAAACACTTTGTTGATCTGATCAATTTCTGACTTCCCAGGAAACAACGGCTTCTGAGTTAGCAGCTCTCCAAAGATGCAGCCCACTGACCACATGTCCACAGCTGTGGAGTACTCCTGGGAGACCAAGGACACGCTCAGGGGCTGGTGGGGCCACACACACAGGGCAGGCCCCCCCACACCCTGGTACTCACCTTGGCACCGAGCAGCAGCTCTGGGGCGCGGTACCACAGGGTCACAACGACTGGGGTATAGGCCTTCAGAGGGGACCCATACTCCCGCGCCAGCCCAAAGTCCCCCACCTGCAAGGGCAGAGGGCGGGTTGTGGGCGAGCTCCTGTGGCCGGGAGCAGACAACTCTCAGGCTGGGCCCCTCGGGCTCACCTTGAGGATGCCGGCATGGCTCAGCAGCAGGTTGGACGTCTTGAGGTCGCGGTGCAGGATCCAGTTGTCGTGTAGGTGCTTCACGCCGCGCAGCAGCTGGATCATCAGGGTCTTCACCTCCCCTGAACAGCGAGAGGTCACTATGTGGCCCTGCAGAGGGCTGGTCCCCCTGGGTTATCTACCCACCTTAGCAGCAACCCCCTTCTCAGGGTGTGTTTATCCTGGGAACATTCCTGCCCCGGGTGGCCCTCATGCACACACACACCCACCCCTGCACACACAGGCCCTCATGCACACAGTGTGACACGATCAGAGTTACAAGGTCAGCACTCCTTCCACCTCTAGGGATGCTGCCCATGGCCCAGGCAGGCTGAGGGTCAGACATCTCGAGGGGGACATGGGTCAGAGGGCCACATCTCTGGCACTAACTCCTGCAGGTGCTACCTGGCAGGAAAGGCTGCTTCATGGTCTCCATCAGGCTCTTGAGGTCGTGCTCCACGTAGTTCATTACGATGTAGATCTTGTCCATGTTGCTGCCCACGACTATTTCCTAGGAAACAACAGCAGGTCTGTTGGCACTGGGTACCCCCAGGCCCCACCCCTGTGACCACTGGCTCTCCCAGGAAACCTGAAATCCCAGGGCACAGACCCTGGGTGACAGCAGGGATCTATAAGTGAGACAACTATGAAGGGCCTGGCATTTCTGGAGGCGAGTGTTCACTTTCACACTGTTTGTGAAAGAGCTTGCTAGACGCAGGGGAGTGTGAATCGCACAACCCTCTCGGGGCAGAGGTGCATTGGGCTGGGACCGCCTTACTCTGACGGTGACGATGTTGGGGTGCTGCGCCTTAAGGATGGTGTTGATCTCCCTCAGCGAGGTAATCGGAAAGCCCTCCTTCTCCTTCTCCATTTTCAGCCGCTTCAGAGCCACAATTTCATCTGAAAAGAAAACAGTTTAAAGACAGATGCTGAGACAACATTGTTCTGTGAACACTAAGATCTGTCAGGACGTACAAAGCCTTCTGCATCTTGCAGTAAGAGGTCTCGTCTTAAGTGGGAGCTCCCATAGGATATTAACCAGGAGGAAAAGCCCCAACTTGTGGTCTGGTAGAAACATGAGGCACGTTTCCAGATCAGCTTTTGTCCAGAACCACTAAGGAGAATCTTCCCATTTATGCCTGTGCCCCTCCTGTGATCATGAGGAGACAGGGCAAACTGTGTCAGCCCAGCACACAGACACTGCCTAGGCTCACAGGGTCTCAGACGGCCACTGTGACTTCTCAAGACCCAGCCAGGGCACTGGGGGACTTCTAACTCCGAAGCTCATACACCTGCTCAGGTGCCGTGGCTCAAGGTCAATGCCCCGGCAGCTCCCAGGCACTCGCCCGGCTAACTCCGCACTCCCCTGTGGAGCTGAGTCACCTGCTGTCACAAGCAAGCAGCAGACTCCTGATCAGGCTGACCTCTGGCCTCCAGAGGCACCAGAGGGTCAACTGCTCAGGTGTGTGTCACCCATGAGTCACAACCTGGTGTGGCCAGGTAAGGTGAGGCCGTGGCTCAGCACCAGGGGAGGGGTGACTCCTGGGAGCATATGGAACTGGGTGTTCAGTGATCTCAATGCTGAAGGTGCCAGGGGCCAGGATCTCCCAGGCTTGCACCTTAGCCTCCCGTGCACGGCTGTGACTGGGGCAGGACACCCAAACTCCCTCCTAGAGCCAGTGTGGGGACTGAGCAGGGCTTGTACGTACCGAATGGGCCTGTGACAGTGCAGCAGGTGCACTGGAGGACAATGTTCCTCAGGAGGGATTCGTTCCTGCCCATGGACAGGCCTCTGCTGACTAGGCTCTCTGGGCCACCCAGTCTCTGCCCCACATCTTCTCTTCCCTTTGGGGGACCCCCCTGGGACCCTACCCACCTGTTTTCTTGTCTTTTGCTCTGTAGACCACCCCATAAGTGCCTTCTTCGATCCTGTTCAGGCACTGGAACTCCTCCACGCTCCGACAGCCCTGGGAAGAAGCACCAGCATGAGGGTGTGATAGCCACAGTCACACATAGCCCGCAGCAACCCCTACTTGGAAATCTCAGGAGGGCCCAAAGTGTGCTTGGGTGGCGGGGCCAGGAGTAACTTTCTTCTCCCACTTCTGTTTTGTTCAGTGAGCATGCGCCCCTTTATTATGAAATAAAACCAACGTGGACAAGGCTGCCCAAGGGCACATCCTTCCAGCCAGGCCCCATCCTTCCAGCCAGGCCTGGCCTGGCCTACAGGTTCTGATTAAGATAACACCAAGGACAGGAGTGGCCCACTGCAGCGCCATGCCCTCAGCACCTTCTCTCCATGCACGCCTTGCTGGTCCTGGCACTCAGGGCTGGGCTGCCGTCAGCTCCGAGTGGCAGGTGGCCAGGCTCACACTCACAGAAGCTCTACCCAGCAGAGCTGCTAAGGTAGCCCAGGGGTGCCAGACTGAGGCACAGCATGTTTGCCAGAGAGAACCCTCCTGCCCGTGGATACCCAGAGCACCTGCCCCTTAGGACCTGTCCCTCCCCAAGTCCTTCCCTGTGGCATCCTTCCTTCCTGACGTTTCACCTAAAAGAAAATGTGCGCCGCCTCCTGCCACGGCGCCACAACCCCTGCACAGCAAGTGACAGGGCAGT